GGGGGGTGGTTACAAAATGCTCCAATCTTCGCCCCCTTCCTATCCGCATTGTTATCTCAGTCCTCTTTTCTCTATTTCTCCCTCCCTCTCTGTTTCTCTGCCCTCCATCCTCCTACCTTTCCATCTCCGCTTCCCCTTCTTGTACATATTCTGTGGATGAAGGCGAAAGCTAACGTCAAGGTAGAGAATTCTCCCTCCGGTCCGTAGAGCCTCTCGCTCCACAGCTCACAACATGTACAAGGGAGAAATTGTGTTCTTTCGTCTAGTGTTTGGTGTTCTCTTGTGGAAGATTGTGCAGCTCATTTGCACCTTTGGTCAGTGGTGAAACGAGGTCCTTAACCGAGGGGTAGATGTGCAAATATGTGTCAGAAAGGGGAAAAAAAAAAAAAAAAAAAGGCGGACGATGCCCAGCGACACCAGACACTGATTATTAGGGAGCACAAATGAATGTGATCACCAGATAAACCTTCTTTTTCTTCTTCTTTTTTCGTGTGTGTAATTCAAAAAAATGTGCAAATATGTCCTACGTTTAAATTGCTTTTTCTAACTTTCTGTTTTTTTTTTTTTCTGACGCATAAAGCTGACGTCGATCGAGCTGAGAGGCGGATCTTTTTTCTTTTTTTTTTTTTTGGGAAAAAAGCGAGAATTCCAGTAAAGAGAGGCGGATCTGATTCCCTCCCCTGGGGCTAGGTCCCACTGGCACGAATTAAGAGATACTGACCGTAGATAGCAAAGATCAACGGCGGAAATCTCCTAATTTGCGCAAGTGGGACCTTGCCCCTGGGCATCGTTGCATTTCTTTCTCAACCTCTCTCTTTCTTATTTTTTTTTATATTTTTTTTAATTCCTATTTCTTCAGTTGCGCATTCTTTTCACATTTCGCGTTTCCGCACCTTTTTCTTTTTCTTCTTTGACTTGGGCAGCTAGCGTCTTCCCCCGAACAGAATGCACCCTGATAGTGAATGCTTACAAGCAATCCTTCAGGTCCGATACAGGCATAATGCGGGTGCGTTGGTGTTAGAGCGAAGATGGTTGAGCAATGATAGGCGGTCTATGCGACATTCAGTGGACCAACTCTGCTGCGGACGTGCCTGCCACGTGGCACTCTAAGGACTACTCTAGTGGCAACCGGGACCTTTCATCCTCCCTCCGCATTTGGTTTCGCCGTCCACGCCACCACTGCCTCGCCTCTTGCCGTATCCATATCGACATTCCTCTTTCCCCCTTCGTTCTCCTCCTCACCTCGTCCTCCAGATGAAAACCCCAACAAGCCTTGTTAGACAGACGGAGTTCGACAGTAGCCATTCCTTGTATTGTAAGCCACCACACTGATGACGTGATCTTGATGCCATCAAGAGAAGGAGGGTGCGAGAGAGAGGAAGAGCAGAGTGAAGGAAGGACGGGGGAGAGAGAGAGAGAGAGAGAGAGAGAGAGAGAGAGAGAGAGAGAGAGAGAGAGAGAGAGAGAGAGAGAGAGAGAGAGAGAGAGA